ATAGATTTTTCGAGCCCCATTAACAATATAGAATAAAGGCAATGTGTCAAGTAATTTATTTCTTGTTTATCCACCGTATCGTAACAATATCGATATCTGGAAGTGTGTATGCGATATTATCAGTTTTCCGAAATATATTGCCAGTATACCGTAATATACCGGTATATCGGTTACACCTAGGGCTGTTGAAGATACACTAAGGCTTGTAAGGTGGGTGAACACCGTATCTTTTCAGTTGTTGTAACTTGTACCGTGGGTTTATTGTGGCAAACCCTTCTTGTTGAATAATAAAATCGTTCTCGACCGCTCCCTGCTGGTGGTACTGGACGTGTTTGATGTAACGCGTCTAGTTTTTACAAGTTTGCGCCTATTATTTCCACCTCATCTGCGATGGGTCAACACAGATTACACACGATGGTTGATGTTTTTTAATTAGTCAGAGAACAGTGTAGTCTGCCATGTAATTTGTGTATACTCTTCGTAAGTCACTAACTGCATTACTTAAACCTATGAATAAAAGGGGTTTCGCCTCCACATATTTAAATTTCTAACAAGGTAAAAGCAATTGCCAAGATGCTCCCTCACAGCAATCGATCAGCATATCGATGACTAGCATTAAAATAACGGACACCAGTGTTAACTCTATATAAAATGCAATGCTTAATGTCTGTAACACAATTTAATAAAATACTACCAAACACGTTGCTGAACTGTCATTTACATAACTATAACGACGATTCAATCTTATTTTTGGCCCACGGCTTAATATTAGTAGCGTTGGGCTCAGGGTTATGGTGGAAAGGTTTGGTGGTGTGATAATGTATGATGATATAGCTGAAACAGAGGGGTCCTAACGTTGTTGTGGGATACTCTTCATAAATTACTTGGTTATACTCATCGCACCATTAAGCTTCTTAGCACTACCTATATATCTCTTCACCCATTGCAGATTAGAGCTTACATGCCAAGCAAGGCCTGTACTGGTATAGAAACACACATAACTAGTAGTAGGTTACTATCTACTACTAGTACCACTTACTATTATGTGTTGTTCATTATACGTACAGGCCTTGCTTGGCATGTAACTCTATTCTGCGATGGGCGTGAGGTCAGTAGACTAGAGTAGTAGTTAGAGTAGTTCTAGAGCGATCGTTGCAGAGTTTGAGACGACATTGAGAGCGTCAACGGTATTGGTAGATTACGTTCCGTATCAGCTGAGGTTCACTGTTGCAGAGTTGCCGTCGTATTTCGCGAACTCGTGCGGAGTCAATTTTTGTTAATACCTAGTGCTTTTGACGGTCCGCAAACCTCCACTGGCTTTGGACTGTTTCGCTTTATTTTTAGGTATCGACGTTTAGTTCGTTATACTGAAGTGAAACATTCACATTGGGCAGAGGCCCCGCGTTGCTTAAAAGCAGCACGTAAAACAAGAGTTGCTAGCTTTTTGAATTTGTTTGTGACCAAAAAGCGTTTTGATAAATCGATGAAGATTCTCCTCATTTCGGCTGCCTTTGCTACATACCACACTTATATAAATTGACTTTACTAATAAGTTAGAGCCATGGGAGTGCCTGTTTTCTTGGTGTGATAAATAGGTGATTGTTCAGCATCAAAGACATACTCTTTGAAATTGATATATTTTAATATTACTAAACCTACACAACAAATTTCGATGATAACACTAAAATTTTGACATGAGCTAGCATAAATATTTCTTATATCATCATAAATAGTTAAATAATTTAAAAAATTATGTGCAACGAATAATTGTTTCAGAAGCAGACGTCTACTTAATATTCCGCTTTCCGCCTTCAACTTGACAGCGATCATGTCAGACTTTAACATATTTAGTGTATTTTAAACTTCGTAAAATGCCATGTTCCAGTTAACAGTAGAAAGATAAGCAGTATAAACCAGGTGGCGCGTAAAGGAGCGGCATCTGGCTGGATGAGGGTGATGTGTTTTGGCCGTTTTGTTTCGAGTAACGAAGATGACTGACACACTCTGTCATGTCAGTCTGGGTTGATTGTTTGTCATCTTTCATTCATTTGGGTGCACCGACGCAAGCTGCATTGCAATTGAAGCCATTTACTATTTATTGGTTAAAATGCAATTTTCGTCCTCTGTATTTTCACAATGATGGGCTATCGTTAGGTAGTTTGGCATCGGTCGGTACTGTTAGCAACATATGTCATTATGATATGGATTAAATGATATAGGCTGACTTCAAAGTTATGTCGCTCGCGCTCTTACGCCATATATGTGCTGTGGGGCAATAATCTGTTTTACTCAGATTAGCCCACAGTAGCCTATTTACAAATGACTAGTATCACGTTAAAATCCACACAGGTACAACAAGTGGGATATGTTTTTCTTTTATTGTCATATTTCTTATTATTAGGCCGGCACATATCCGCCTCAGTACTCCTACAATACCTGTCTGTATGTTTATACCTCGGACCATGGCTCGATATTTAAATTTTATAGTCTAAATCGATGTAATTATCTGCATTTAGTTTGCTAGTTTATTCATATTATTGGCGTGATAAAACTGTGTGTAGCCAGCTGAGCCCCTGAAGTAAAATTTAGGCGGCCCAGTCAATTTTATGGGGCCCAGCTTTATGGCGCGAAGCGAGACAGTTCGGATTCGTCTTGGATATTAGTCTATTATGCATACGGGCATGACGATTTAGAGCAATCTTTTGAGAAAAGGAATGCAGGTTGGGTCCTTTTTTTTTGCAAACGTTACAACGTCTATGAAAATACTATGATTGTCACTTTCCAAGTAGGCGACAGAGTCAGGTGGTGGTCTATGAAATGTGCCCGACGAGTGGAGCACATACCAATATTTATTCTAGGGGGGACTCCGTTTACTATTACCTTAGTGACAAGTAAGTTAAAAAAGAAGTACTTCTAACAATTTCTACATTTGTTTTTATTACGCCATTAATTTAGAGTAGTTTACTCATCATTTTTTAAACAGTTTCCATGCTCATTGTCAGAGTTCATCCAGTCCCCACTTGTCATTCCTGTTTCATCATCATCAGCCGTCATTATCGTGTCCGGTTTGATTCCCTGTTCTGCTTATCAGCTCATTATCTTCAACAATTTCTCATGCTTTTTCAGCTTTTATCTGTATTCTTTAACAAGTCGGCCTTCGTTGACCTTGAACACCTGCTCGTGTTCCATAACTTTAATTACTTGCAATGGATCAATTCCGTGATTTGGGCAGGGACAGCCATTTTTATGGCATTTTATTCAAAATTTAATTATTTTTTTACAAATATATTTTATTTTGTATTGATCACAATTTTTATTAGATTGCATTGGATTGGTATTACAACACCATGGTTTACAACCACTGCATCTCTTATTACACTAACTAGGTTAATAATTATTAGTAATTACACCCACATTCATTACCCAATTGATCCGCCGGGCATGTCAGGACTATGCAACACCATGTACAACAATAGCTCTCACTGGCTGAGTTCCCAGCCCTGGAACCATATGAGAGCCGGTATTACGTTTCACCAGGCCGAATCAACATTCCTTGTTAAACATGCCTGCCCCTACTCCATGAACGTGCATCCAGTGTTCTTCTAGTCCTTAGCAGCATAGATTTTGGAATTGGTTTTCATTTAGTGGTCAAAAAATGTATCAAAATTTGTAGGAACATGCGTGAGCGCAATCTGTCAATGGGCGTAATATGGCCTGATAGTGATTCACTGATTATTGTATGTATGTACTATAAGAAAGAACCCTCGCGTTTCGTGGGCTCTTTTGACAAAATTCTTTGGGGCCAACATTTCTTCTATCGCCTCGGGCGACCTCTGGGGTAAGTCGTTCATTTTCATCACTGTTATTGGCGCATGTGACAAACAAAATTTATCTTTTAAAAACGCCACCGATGGAGACAATGCCAACAAGCTGTGCAATCACTGTCGATTCGGTTGCATTGACAATGATCCACCCAACACCAGTCGCTAACAAATAATATATGATCAAAATCATATACTTTCTCAATATTTATTTTTTTTGTGAACATCTAAAGCCTAGTGGTCAATTAAGTAAGTACGTGACTGGGTTTCTTCTTATATTACCAACGGGTGGGGCTAAACAATATTAAACATAGCCTATAGGTGCAAAAGCTTCTACACCTAATTGACTAACGCTATAGGGGTCTATGTTCCCCTTGGTATCTGCCGGAACGTCTCCTAGCACGGTAAACTATCCTAGCTGATATGTTAGGGTTAGCGGAGTCGCTGGGTAGGCGAATACTCACTTCGACATCGGTTTAGTGGAGTAAGGCGGGTACGGGTCCGGATTATTAGATAGTATGTATTTAGCCCGGGTACTCTCGGCCAGTCCTGTCCCGGTCGACATAGACCTATCAGCCAATGCTAACCCTAGCTGCTACTGTTCAGCGTTGTCTTGCTGTATGAATAGTCTGTAGTACAACGGATATTGGTATATCTAAATAATTATCCTGATTGAATATATGAAAAGCATTTATCGTGACTTAGCTGGCAGCTCGGAATAAGTTAACACCGTGGCCCATAGGTATATAGACCTGTTAACTATCTTATGCTGACCAAGATTTGAATTCAAATGTGATTTGCAGAGTAGCACAGTGTATATGTAGCTTAATTGTTTAGAGCTTATGAGGCTTACACTAGGATCAACATCTCCTTTCGGCAACGCTTCTCTAGTATCCCGTCTCATCTGGATAAAACGACTACATACACTGGTGCCACCTGTTGGACAAAAATGTCGTAAATGATGTAATGCATTAATAAATGTGTCATAGTCACCGAATGATAAAATGAACTCAACTGGCTGTACGAGTAACAATGGCCCTGTGCTGTATTATGCAATATTATCCATTTTACAAGTAGTGTGCAGAATTAATAGTTATATGAATAGTTTAATAAAGGTTGTTTATTTTAATTATCTTATGAAGCTATGTGAATTAACCATATGCTTATGATTAATTTCAGGTTGATTATGTCAGACAAGACCTCAAGGAACTTGTTTTTATTTTTGCTGCTAAATCTTTCGTTTGCTATAGTGGAACTACTATATGGTATATGGACCAACAGGTAATAAGCTTCATTTATTGCAGCAAAAATTGCTGTAGTATAATTGTAATTTGGATGAAAAAAAGTGCATTATATTAGCAATATAATAGTATATTATTTGTATTTTTGCGTATTCGAGTATTTATATATAGTACATGATATATCATAGTATTACAATTCAATAGGTTTAAATGTTTCAGACGTTCGTAGTTATGACTGCATTTATATGTTTCCATGTTGATGACGATGTTGTGTGAATGTTTGCTTACCTTGGGTTTCAGTCTTGGCCTGCTATCGGACTCGTTTCACATGTTCTTCGACTGCACAGCCCTGCTAGCGGGACTAGCTGCGTCTGTAATCGCAAAGTGGCGAAAAACGGATAAATTTACATATGGGTGAGGTTTACATCTGTTCGCAGCTCTGTCCACTTCCTGTGGTTGTGTTTCATGTCCGGAGAATGCGCTCATTTGATATGCAGTCAAAATTGAGTCACTTGCTACTTATTAAAGTCTTTCATTAATATAATGCGTTATGTCAGAAGAGTAGTTCTTTCGTTTTCATTTCAGGTATGTGCGAGCAGAGATCATAGCTGGATTTGTGAATGCGTTATTTCTGCTGTTTATTGCATTCTTCATCTTTTCTGAAGCTGTAGAGGTAAGATTCAAGCTGTTCTGTTTGTTAGCATTGTCAGTACCTATTAAATGTACATCTCATATATTCTATATGTACCAACAAATTTGTTTAACGTTATTAATATGAAATAAATGTCATCCTTTAGTGGTAAAAACATTGTTGATTGGTTGGCAGAGGGCAGTGGAGCCACCGGAGGTGAAGCACGAGCGACTGTTTCTCGTGTCTGTTCTCGGATTGCTCGTTAATCTTCTCGGAATCTTTGTGTTCGGTCACGGACACTCGCACGGAGACGGCGACCATGGTGAGTGCACCAGGGGGCGCCACTAAATCCCGCCTCACCATGGTGAGCGTGGCAGGGGGCACTGTTAATCCCTTGCCATGGTGAGTGCATTAGTCAAACAAAGTGTAAAAAAAACCTACCCGATAAGAGTCGGTTGTGTGAGAAGTGAATAGGACCATGTCATTATTCCATGGGTTTTATAATGATGAGGAGAACATTTCAAATTTGGTATTTGAAGTCTTACCTTAGTTAGTTTCATGTTATACATTTCGTTAAATATGAGCATGACCCTGAAGATGAAGCCTGTGTTTAGCAATAAAGTTGCAATAAGATATATATATATATATATACGGTCCGGACGAGAGGAGTAGCGCCCCTCGCACGTATTTAGCTAAGTGTGGAACCATGAATACATACATATTCATGGAACCCGAGATGGCTTAGACTAAGGCCAACGAGTGCCCTCGACAAAATTATATTGTTATTTTCTATATATATGCTGATGTTTTAGGTCACAGTCATGGAGGGATAAGCTCAGCACATCATGACCATCATCATGACACCACACATGGTCTGGGTAAGATGACATTTATCTCAACTAAACCTAGGTCAAGTTTATATGTAGGGAGTTTATATGACACTCTATGCATGGTGGCACTTCTTCATCTGATTGAATATTGGTTTCCATGAATTTGTATCTTAATAAATAACTTGACAAGTACAAAACGTCATATCCAAAGACTAGACAGTCTAGCCATAAATAAGAATACCATATAATTTTTTTTACTATATTATATATATAGTAAAAAAAACATAATGTACAGCATATTCTTTTAAGTGTAAATTTTTTAGTATAAACTCTAACCTTTAAACTTTTCAAATGCTGAATTCAATCATTGAAGATACTCGCTGTAGTGTGACGCACTCGTTAAGGAAACGTTCACGCTTCGTATTTGTTCGCCGCAGGCATGGGTAATGACAGTCACGGTCACAGTCATGATCACGGTCACGGCCACAGTCATGATGGTGACACCAGTCACGGTGGTGAACACAGTCATGGTGGAGGGAGTTCCAGCTCATTCAGCCAGATCAGACAAGGTGAGGGTAGCGCACGCTGCATGCAGCGGTTGAAACATGACGTCGCACCATAGTAGGGCTGTAAAGATCCACCGAAATCGAGTCGAATCGCGATTCTCTTCCCTCGCTCCGATCCTCGATATGTTTTCCCGTATTTTCGATTCGATCCAACCCGCTTCATTTTTTCAGCACATGTAGTCAGTCAGTCGAGAGACTGCCACCACTGTATGTCCACGTGTCCACTGCATCTCGCGCTGTACAGTCTAGAAGTCAAATGTTGCAACTTCCGCGGCAGCGATAATTTCTGTTATGCCGGGTAATGATACGAAAATGCGTATGTTTCGTGTTTTTCGAAAAAAAATTCCATTTGTAAATGCGAAACTTTTGCTTATCTGTTGTGAATGATCGCGTGAAAACCGTCTCTTCATCCTCTAGGAGTCTTCCTGCACATACTCGCTGACACCCTGGGAAGCGTTGGCGTCATATTCTCTGCGATACTAATGCATTTCTTCGGCTGGATGATCGCTGATCCACTCTGTTCCATGTTCATAGCCGTGCTCATCGCAATAAGGTGAGTGAATGTCCGCGAAATTACATGTTTCTCATATGGTGTGTGTGTGAAAATTTCAAGCTTTTTGCAGCAGTTTATATGGTATTAATGACAGAGTGCAAAAAATTATTTAAACACCATATTTAGTCAGTGTGAACGTTTTAAACTAGGTTTAAATCGTGTTATCTTAGTCCATCTAAAAGAGTATAAAGGTAATATAACAAGCAGGTTCAACTTTCATAGTTGTGAAATAGGTGTGATAGTAACTTACCGTGAATGTTGTGAATCGACATGACTTTCACACATTGTGGCGTTACGCCAGGGAAAAAATTTCTTTTTTTTCACTGGAGCTCTTTTTCAAGTCTGTGGGAAAAATAGCTCTCGTCAAAAAATTCTACGGGAGTTATTTTGAGCCTCACGGGAGCGATTTCGGAGGTTTGAGCAGCGAATCGCTCATCGCTCCCGTGTATTTTTTACCCTGCATTGCACGCTTGTATCTACAGCACCATACCACTGCTGCGAGATTCCGTCAGCATTCTAATGATGAGAACACCAACACAATTGGATTTCACCTTACCTGAGGCTTACTCCCGAGTGAGTACACGCATCAGCTCTGTCTTGATAGCTCAACTTCATAATGATTCCGTCTTTTGCACGCAAAATGTTATTTCTCAATCACGTGTGTCACACAACAACTAGCTACCATCATGTGCACGTGTGCACCACTCTTCTGCAAGGCTTCTTTTATTTAGGTCAAAATCAACTCAACATTAAACCAGGGTGTCTTGGTGGTGCCACCTATAGGTGGAAATTATCATAAACGGAATAACAATAGATATGTCATTCATGAATTCATCCAATTGATGCGTCTACACTCATCATTTATCTATGAAAATGCTTACACAATACACACAAACAATTCAAATTCGCAGCCACACGTAAGCTCTTGGCGTACCTTGCACATCTGCTAACGAGTGTTTGTGTTGTGGACAGGTGAGCCACCTCGAGGGTGTTTACAGCGTGCAGGAGCCACACTTCTGGACGCTGTGTAGCGACATCTACGTCGGCACTGTGAAGCTTGAGGTAGCGAACAACGCCGACATGCAGTACATCCTCAGCAGCACTCACAACATATTCGCACAGGTACGACGCCACCGCGATCTTGTCTCACCACGCACGCACGCGGTCTCTCATGATCTCTCTCTCTGTCGCCATGTTCTTCTCTCTTGCTCTCTTTTCTTCTCTCTGTTCTCCTCCCCTCTCTCTCTTCCCTCGTTCCCCTCCCTCTTGCTCTCTCCTCTCTCTCTCTCTCTTCTTCTCTCTCCTCTCTTCACTCGTTCCCTCCCTCCCCCCTCTATCTCTCCCTCCTCACACACTCATTCTCATCATCTCTCTCTGTCTCTGTCTCTCTCTCTCTCTCTCTCTCTCTGTCTCCGTCTCTTTCTCTCTCTGTTTCTCTGTCTCTCTCTCTTGCTCTCCCCCTCGCTCTCACACACACGTTTTCTTGATTGGTCTCGTTTGTTTTGCACGGTTTTATGGGTTGTAACCCGGCACTCGGGGTAACTCAAAGAGAGTGAAGAATTTCAGGTGCTAATCCTGATTATGATGACACCGTACTCGATAACGGCTCCCATCTTGCAGGATTGTGGCTGCACTAGGTCTTTGCCGAGTTTTGTGTTTTCACATCGCAGCGGTTTTTATTGCGCAGCTCAAGTGAAGTAATTTGTATTGTAGATATTTTGTCTTCGACGCTGAAAATTGATCGTCGCTTGTATTGCAGATCGGCGTGCGGCAGTTATACGTTCAGATCGATCAGGTGGCGATGTGACAGAGGCGAGAACTTGCGTGATCGGCATTGAAGTTCCAAATCACGGCTGCGCTGTCGTTGCATGGACGGGAGTAGCCATGCCGACATCGCTCCCCCCCCCATACACGTCGTGCTCGACGCAATGTTCGGTGTGGGATGCACACTAAACAATACAGCGTTCTACTCGTCAATCTACGACGTCTCAGAGTAGGAGTGTGAGCGGGTGGGGTTCTGAGAGGGAGTGGTAGCAATGTGCTAAGGGCTCACATAGTCTGTGATCATACTGTCTTCTTACAGACGTGTTAGCCACTAGCCGGGATCCAGTATTTATTTTTGTGTATCGCGTATATGCTTGCTAGGGAAATTGCTTGTTAACAAATGTATTAATATTATTTTATTGTGACGTTTGCGCGCATCAGTCGTCTTTATCCGTTCGGCCGTTTGTCGAACGGGGAAAAAAATCTTTATGTGTCATTTGCATTTAATCGATTCAGTCACAGCTAGATACTGACACGAAGTGACGGATATGCTAACGACTCCTCTGTGGGTGTATAAATTACCTCCAAGCTACGGCTACATTCATGTTGACGTGCATTTTTACACGCTGGACGAAAGACAGGTTTTTTTGACAAGCCCCTCCAGCACGCACTAGATTTTTTTTATCGCAGTAATAATGTAGGAGACGCTCTGGAAATTCGGTGCCGACAAAAAAGTTTTGATCTACGGACACCAACACGAAGCTCAAAATCGACAGTACGCTAAACTTCAGGTCCGATTCTGCAACTCGTAAAAAAATAACCACAACTCAGTGGACACTTGTAAAGGATGCAGAAACCCTTTCAGAGAGATTCTGTTGAAATTGAGATGTGTGATTAACCCTCCGTTACATACTTACTGCATGCACGCACACGCACACGCACACGCAAGCACACGCACGCATGTGCACGCGTTACAAACTTATGGAATGCATGGTTCTCCCCAGGAATACCAGACAGCATGTCGTTTGTGGACGGATCAGAAAGGGCACGCGAAGGGGTTGTACCAACTGAAGTCAATTACGCGTGTCATACGCGACCCCCAATACAAAGGTAAACTCTATCTGTTCCGAGACATGTACGTCAAGCTGTGGAAACACAGCATCACGGCTGTGTTGGAACTGTCAAACGTAAACATGGCTGGAAGTTAAGGCACGACGATTCGACAACTGAGGCATGTCGGACCCGACACGTGTTATAAAGTTCTGCCGGAGAACCCTGCACGGGTAATTATTTACCGGGAAGGAACATTCCTGTTCTTGGCTCACAATATTTTTTTTGTAAGCATTTTTTCCATTATAAAATGGTGGCTGTTAATTCCATTGGTTTTTGCTTGGTGGGGGCGGGGGTGGGGGTACGTGGGGGGGGTATGTGACAACTACGTGTATGTGGATAAGGATGACAACGTTTAGTTGCGTCACGAATGCTGCCATACGTGAAAGTACTCGTTTTCCGTTGCATGTATATCGTTAAAACATATCTTTTCAACGCAAGATCTCACCTCCATTGAACGGGAAAATGAGATTCTTCTAAGGTGATATGAGGGGACGTATATTTTTTGGGGGGTGGGGCCATCCTTAAAAAATTATATGTTTGCTGTCCTCCGACCGACCCACGAAAATAGCCGCGACCCAAGTTTTTTTTGACATTTTGGGTTCCATTTTTTTTTACATTTCTTATAGTTACGACTGAAACACAAAGCATGTGTGGCAAACATGAGGACAGACTTAAAATAACTATTATGCCTCACAAAAAAAGACCTACCTACCTACCCACTAAAACAATCATGGGTCAGGGGACAGCAAACATAGAATTTTTTAAGGATGGCCTGGGGAAAGAATATGAACAGAACACGGCTATAAACAATGTACAGTTTGCGGAGACAAAACTAGTGATAATTATAACATAAAAGTAGAAAACTTTGAAATGGAACTACGCGACTGGTGGCGACATAATACGTTTACATTTGCAATGTAAACGAGCAGACGTTCCACCAGTAATGTCACGAAACGGCTAGGGCGAGAGCGTGACAAGGTACATTTTGCCCTCGCCGATGCAGCACCGCTAATAGAGGTTGTAAAAGGTTGTAAATAATTTATGCCGCTAGTTTTAAACCGGAGGCGACTACATTCAGGGTTGCGTGCGAACACGAGCAGGGAGGTGGGTAGCGGGTGCAGTATCACGCTATCACGGCAGGTGGGAATTTTTGCAATCTTTCTTCGCGAACCCATGATTACTACAGTATAACGCAGAGCGACCATGTAGCATGAACACGAGGTGTCGCCAGGTCTGAAATGGTTTACGTCTCCCAGTGTACAAACACTTGGGATCTATCGGGTAGGTTAGAGTTAGGGCCACTTACTGGGAGTGAGTAACCAAGTAGACATAGTGATAGACCCTTTCAACATTAGCAGAATTACTAGAATCGACAACGACAAGGTTGCGCTATAACCTGGGGCCCGTTATCAGAAACAAAATTAGTCTTAATTTGGTCTTTACATTTGTCTCATAGATTGTTGACAGAAACAACTTTAAGATATGAGTTTGTCTTACGCAGTGTGCAGAGGTCTGGTCTACGAGGAAAATCTACTGTTAAGACTAATGTTAAGACAATTTTTTTTTTTTGACAACGGGGCCCAGGTCTGTCATATCACAGGACTGTGATGTCGCATGTTTAGCTTGGTCTGTTCTGTGACACATTCAGTTAAGTTTTGCTTGTGGAGAAGGGTTTAGAACTTCATAGTTACACATTGTTCTCTCGATCTGAATGGGATTCTAAAGATGCCAACGATGCCTTCGTGTAATTAGTAAACTGGATAACATTATCATTATACACTGACCATGACTACTAGGCTGGTTATCAATATTTCGGTTTCTGTTGAACGGCAAGGATATGGGGTCAGTGTGAATGGTAATGTAAAGCCCGGCGCATACGTGAGTAATTTTACTCAAGTAAAGTTATGCATGCGTCAAAATACTCACGTGTGCGCTGGATTTTCGTCGAGTATTTTGACCCATGCATCAAAATACTCGCGTGTGCTGCAGATTTTCGTTGAGTATTTTGACGCGTGCATCATTTTACTTGAGTAAAATTACTCACGTGTGTACCTAGCTCTAGTACTATAGCCCGCTTTTATTAACTGCCGCAGGGGTTAGGGTGCACCGGGCTTAAGGGCTACACACACCAGCAGCAGCAGCAGCAGCAGCAGCAGCAGTGCAGCAATGGCTAGCTGGTAACGCCTGGTGGAAACGCTGGCTGGCTGAATCATTCCCATGATCTTAAAAAAAGAGTGACATAATATAGATCCATCTATCTATATATATACTACTTCGCTCCTGATCTAAACAGTAATGCAGTTAGTGGTGTGAGAGGTACTGTACGTCTAACACATCTATCATGTGCCTCATACCTTCATGAATGCATCTCGACTTCCTGCTGTTGCATCATGAAGGGCTATATAGGTGGAATCCAATTATCTACGGAAGTAGGACTTTTACTATAGATATATACTAGAAATAAACGTGGTATTTACGATGAATCATTCCCTGTCTAAGTACGTCGCGCTGTGTTTACGGATGTCTGTCTATCTGTAAGGTTTTATCTCTATAATTGAACTAACGTTGGCGCGCGTGAAAGTCAGTGTGTAAATATCGCGGGCAGCATCTATTGTGACTCCGCGCAAAGGTGATCGATGGCTGGAAAAAATTAAAAAATTTCACAAATGACTCGTTGTGTTCTCTTACTTCACACTTGTGTCGATTTTCACTATGTATTAAAGCTGCAGAGGTGCGTAGAACCGGAAGGAATCTCACGTATTGACGTATATTCAGTTCCCTAATAGAAACAACATATACAATTATTGACAGCAGGTTACGCACACAAACTCGCTCAAGCGTATATATATATCTTACATATATAGTTGTTTAATGTGTAGAACTTATTCATGAATCTAAACGAGAGAAAAATTGAGCTAAACGTTGGCAAGCATTCTACAAGAGCCGCTAGAAGTAAACGGAGCGTTGAGACGTGTTTTATATGGTGGGAACAACAACAACAACAAAATCGACAATGTAAGACACATGGATAACCACCCAGCCACACTGCATCGTAATAAATGCCTGGAAAATAACAGGCAGTGGTGAACTGTATAACCTACTATCCCTCCACGCAGCATGAAGCTATGATATTCTCCTGCCTACTGACGTTTGCTTCGCCCAAGGTGCTACATTAGACAGTCTACTCTATGATAGACCTAGTTAATCTAATATAGCGGACTTCACTCCACAGGAAATGGCACTCTGTCACATGTCTACAGGCATAGTCCCAAGACTATTATGATTCACGTGTCATAATATCAAGAGTTAATAATACCTCATCATTGAATATATCAATATATCAATATATCAATATATCAATATATCAATATATAATCAAGGTAGTAATGATAACGTATTATAAGCTCTGCTCTTGATAATATTACAATGTATGTGAACATAATAACATACGTAATACATAATGTAATACACAATGTAATACATGTGATCAATAATGTAATACATATATATAGTAATATATTATTGACGGTTGACATCGGTGTGTCGTCACGTGGGCAAACACAAGAGGTGACAGATTCGTGACATTTCCGCTCATCACAACCACGTGATACGCGAGTGAACAGCAATATAGCAGTATAGTTAACCGTAAACCTAGGAGAAATAACCTCAAATTAATCACCTCTGTGAGATTGATACTTATCCCTGCCGTAAACTCATATAACACAGAGACACATCATCATTGCGCGCACGTCTTCGCATGTGCATACGCCTCTTCTTCGCGTTTCAACGACATTGAAAGATAATTCGGTCGCGTCACGATCTCGCTGTCACGCGAACCCAACACACGCACCAACACAACCACGGAACCTAACAACGCGCATGAAACTGCATGAAATAAAACTCACACGATGCAGTATCTTTGATATGTGCAACAGAAAGGAAAGCAAGCCATCCGTTTGCAGACAAAACCTCAGCGAGCAAACAATCGCTCAAAAAAATTCCGCGTCAACACGATCCACGTGCGAAATCGAGAAGAAAACAACAAATGAGTGAAATTAATTTTTTTTACTGGAGGATGACGTAGCAGCCCTTCATTCTATTAAAATCTCTGGGTACCTGCCTCGCGCTGCCCTCCTAACCGCAGAGATGACAACGGCAGCAGCAGAGAGCATGGCAGGCATGAATAAACAAGCCAAGCGCATGTACATGCTGCACTATGTACGCGCGACACACGCACTGCAGACCCCCGCAGTAACGCACGAAGGGTCGTTGTCGTATCAGATACTACATATATGTACCCGAGGTAGTTTTAGGTTGTTTAGTATTATGTTAATATTTTTATACGAGGTATGTTTAGGGTTATGGTTATGGTTAGGGTTAGGGTACACTTCTGTAGTACAAGTCTGGTACACTTTGTGTATACATATATGTACCTCGGGTAGTATCTATGGATATATGTAGTACCTGATACGACAACGACCCCTTCAGCCGCAGTAACACGTACACGTAGTCCGACCACAGGGGTGAGAGACATATACGTCAATACACGACATGTATTTCGACGTGAGACCGTTTCTTGTCACGCACTCGTGTCACATAATGCACGCAAATAATAACTAATATAAAGAGTGAATAATAATAGATCTAAAATTAATAAAATAAATCTATTATTATTCACTCCTGACAATATCTTACATCCCAGGAAGCAACGATTCTACCTGCTGAGATATAATTAGGGTTATATGTACGTAAACTATGATACAAGTAATGTAAGTACAGATATAAGAGCAGTCATATAGAATATATATATATGAAAACTAACGGACTGTCATGAACGGACTGTCTGAAAACAACGCTCGTCAGAGTGGTACTACATATCTGATTTTTATCCAGCACTTCACCAACCACTTCTGTAATACTTTGTATGAAATATACCACCGCGAAAGCAAGTGCCCTAGCAGACTAACCCACTGGCTGTGTACCTTACACTCACTCGTTACCACTTCACCTGTTACAAAACCACGTAGAATTAAAAACCATAATAAAAGTAATTTCCATAGTGTAACATCTATGATAACATCTATCCCTGAACTCGGTCAATCAATTCACCATTTTTGTCTCAAAACTAATAATTGTACATGCTAAGTACATACACGATACATATATACGTTCACGTGATCACGTGTGCAGTAATTGCTGTTGCTATAGTTACCACATATCACACAACCATATACACACCTGCATCGGGATTTTAGAAGTAACTAACATGATAAACATATATATATGCATCACCCATCGTGTTACTCTCTGATGGTATCCTTTCTCCTTTCAAAAATGAAAACGATGATTACGTATCAACGATAGCGATTAAAACTTGGCGTCTCGAAAACTCAACATTTACAATAAACCTATAAAAGATTCGCTATAAACTATAGACGGATATTTTGATCTCTGAATCAACGCACACACGCAATAATCTCGATACGTAAGTCCAAATTGACGCTACTATACAATGACCGGAAATGTGATCACTCGGCCAGACACTGCATATATGCATAGACGACGGCATAAAACTATTCATACATACGTACATACATACGTACCGCGTACGTACGTACTGTACATACGTATATACATACACACGTACATACATACGTACATAGTACTACATACGTACCGTACGTACATACATACGTACATACGATTACGTATATATACATGTACGTACATACATACATAGATGCATACGTACGTACATACATACTACATACGTCCATACATGTATATATATTTATTCTAAATTCACCACCTAAAGTCGCATTCTAAAGTGGTAGAAGAATTTCGTTTCCCTCCTATACTAATATACTGGTGTTTTTTCATTCATTTCAGCAAAACACACTACCATTATCTTATAACGGATAAACAAAGATTTGATAGAAAAATATGAGCCGGTCGCCAACAACTGTCGAAGACATAACCACTAAAAATCAAGCTGAAGTTTAAGCTTAACACGGCTGCAAAACATTAATCGGAAATGAAACAACTACCAACCTTCTGTACAAATCACGATCATATACTATCGAGTAGCCAGTTAGGGAATGTGTCATTGACCATAGCTTCCAACTCAAATGTTAGTTACTCACGAATAATAACTCGGGTTAGTGATTCTACAGCATAATCAGGCCGTCTCTTACTGGCACAATCTAAAAAATAAAAATAAATGAATATACAGTAACCAAGGCGGCATCTAGCCAATTCTATGCGAGACTCACATCACAGATTTACACATGTAGACTTATTCTACGATACAACCGTCGCGATGGTAACGTTTACGGCTTTCTATTAAGCGCTTATGTGCCAGCACTGGAGTCGTTATAGTCGTAAAGACGGTAGATATGCATCGTAAGCGGCAGCTACGTCACGATACTGGCGACGCACGCATCGACTGAAACCGCTAACATCGACCCCTCGACTCCACTATTTTTAAAACTTTGCGACTTCACAAATCATTCACCGCTCTCTCCCTCTCTCTTGGATCGACGCCACGCTGCTAACATCTCACCGGCGTGAAAACAGCAACAGCTCTCTATAAATCTCACTATAAATACTTCAACCACCGGCATTTCACACGACCTGCGCGCGCGGGAACACTAACACATTCCCCACAAATATATTTACACAATACTTTTATCACCGGGACGGGAATCAACCATGTTCAAGTTCGCACCGGACCCATGCGCGGCCGCCCAATTTCGGTCCGCGGACACAAGGACACCAAGCGGATCTTTGCTTCAGCGTCTCCATGGCGATGACGATGCTGAGGAGGATGCAACCCAGCATGAGAAGCGGAGGAGGAGAAATGCTCCTCGTGGAAGGGGAAAGGGGATCACCGTCCTTCTCCCGTGCGCGACGTCCCGCTTGCCCCAGCCGTTGCTGTGATCCCTCGCGGCGGCCCGCCAGCCTCCTCCCCCCTCCCACGGACCTGCCAGCCTCCTTCCCCCTCGCGGCTGTAATGTGACTTCGTTACGACGAGACGCAGTATAATTTTAACGGCGGCAGTGTCGTGAGCGGAAACGTCGTCGCCGCGTCGTCGTCGTCGTCGCCGCCTGCAGCGTCGTATGTTTTACGACGGCGCTTACGCATTACTGCACCGGTTCTCTATTCTTTCTCTCTCTCTCTCTCTCTCTCTCTCTCTCTCTCTCTCTCTCTCTCTCTCTCTCTCTC